ACGGCAGATATTATTTCAGTTTTACAAAGGAACTACTTGAGGCTCAGAAAGGTCATCGCAGGACTGTCGCAGCAAGTAAGTAAATGCATTCCAAGGGAAGTGGTGCGTATGCAGGAAGGAGGAGCCTAGGAAGAAAGAAGAAATCAGAAAAGGCTCCACAGCGGAGGTGGCATTTAACTCCAGCTTTGAAGAATGGCTCAGATTCCAACAAGAAGAGACACAGCCCAGAGAAATGAGGCAGCAAAGTGAGGAATTGACAGCAGCTGTCACTTTGAGAGAGATTTTTTTTTTTTCAAAGTACGTTTTTATTGATTTCAGAGAGAGGAAGGAAGAAGGGGAGAGAGATAGAAACATCAATGATGAGCCTGGCCGGCATGGTTCAGTGATTGAGCATTGACCCATGAACCAGGAAGTCAGGGTTCAATTCCCTATCAGGACACCTGCCAGGGTTTCAGGCTTGATCTCCACTAGGGGGCGTGCAGGAGGCAGCCGATCGATGATTCTCTCTCATCACTGATGTTTCTCTCTCTCCCTCTCCCTTCCTCTCTGAAATAAAAAATATATATATATATATATATGAAATCCATCAAAAGGAGAGTGATTGAATAAATTAGAATGTGATTAAGAATACTGAAATGGACCTGGCCGGTTTGGCTCAACGGACAGAGCGTCGGCCTGCAGACTCAAGGGTCCCAGGTTCGATTCCGGCCAAGGGCATGTACCTTGATTGCGGGCACATCCCCAGTAGGGAGTGTGCAGGAGGCAGCTGATCGATGTTTCTAACTCTCTATTCCTCTCTGTAAGAAATCAATAAAATATATTAAAAAAAAAAGAATACTGAAATGGAGAGACCACCCAGGATTCTCCAGATGGGCCCTAAATGCAATCACAAGTGTCCTTATAAGAAAGGCAGAGGGAGACTGGACATAGGAGGGGAGGCAGTGTGGCCACGAAGGCAGAGATGAGAGTGCTGTGGCCACCAGCCAAGGACTCCCTGGAGCTGGAAGAGACAATAAGGATTCTCCCCTGAACCTTCTAGAAGGAACCAGCCCTGTCAACACTTTGATTTTAGTCCCAGAAGATGCTTCAGACTTCTGATCTGTAGAACTGTAGGAGAATAAACTTCTGCTGTTTAGGCCACTACATTTGTGCAATTTATTCCAGCAGCAATAGGAAATGCATGCACGACTCATTTCTCAGGCCTTGGCTCAGACCTCCAGGAGACCTTCTGCGACACGCCTAGGGTAAATGCTGTCCCCCACACCCTCTCACCCACAGCATGGTCTCGGGGTTGGTGTCTTTTACTGGACAGTGATCTCCCTGAGGACAGACGCCCTGTCTCATTCATATCTCCGGCCTGAGCACCCACCATGGCGCCTGGTATGACGTCAGCATTCGGTGAATGTCTGTGAGACCATGAATGAGGAAAGGGAGATAAATGGGATTTGTTCTAATTTATCAAGACACGGGGTCTTTATCCAAGACTGTACAGTTAACTTTAGCTCTTGACTTTGACTCAAGTTAAAAATGACATCACCCAAAGCGAGTTTTTTGTCCCACACTCTATGAAAGCAAGGTTTGCACAGCGTTTGGCAGCTGCTGGCACTGCCGCTTATTCGGCTTTTCGATTTGGGGCTGCCTGCAAGAAAATACTGATTGTTTAAGATCACCTCGGCCTGCGTCCGCCTTCAATGATCAGTGGTGATCAGAATAAGTTTACCCTACACAGCAGTCCAGAACAAGTTCCTTCTTTTCACTTTCCATTTGAAAATCAGAAACATTCGTTTTTAGAACCATTTTTATTAGCCTTTTTTGAGGGGGTGGGGGTGGGTATTGGCTACTGTTATGTACTGTTTGGTATTGGATCTAATGGGCAAAGTATAAGCATTATATTCCAAGTCACTATCATCTCCTTTCAAAATTAAAACTCTCTTCCTCACCTTCCTCTCCTTTATGTGGCTGCCAGCTGTCTCTTCTCTGCCCCCCGCCCCGCCCCCCCCCCCCCCCCCAACTCTGTGATATTTCTTAGTACACCATTCCCTTCTCAGACATACAGTGAAGAAAATTCTTTAAAAGGGACGCTTTTCATATGCTACTTGGAAACAGTCGATGACAACAGAGAGCTGTGAAAAATTACATCAGAGAGGAGATATTTGCTCAAGGTCATTGAGAGAAAAAGAAGCAGAGATGGATTCTTCCCAGGCCGCCCACAGGCCTGGGTAAGCCCCTTGCACTCATCGCTTTAGAGTGAAAAACCTCACATACTAGTAGCCCCTGCTACCAAAAAATTATTAAGATAAAGCATGTACGCTGTCTTAGGAAAATAAAACAAGAAAAAGGCTTTTTAACAAAAAGCAGCCGTTCTCTGCCTTACACCTCCTCTCAGTCCCATGCTCCAAATAGAACCATTTCCTGTTATTGTGGTAAAGGAGACAATAGAATTTAACATGTTAAACATTTTAGGTGTGCCGCTCAGTAGGACAGTCACATTGTTGTGTAACCATCCATCTCCAGAACTTTTTCACCTTCCCCATGCCCCTCCCTCCAGTAACCACCATTCTACTTCCTGTCGCTATGAATGCGACTCTCTAGGCTCCTCATATAAGTGAAATCATACAGCATTCATCCTTTTGTGTCTGGCTTGTTTCACTTTAGTGTATGCTTTCAAGGTTCGTCCCTGTTGTAGCATGTGTCAGAATTTTCTTCCTTTATAAGGCTGAATAATATCCTTTTTCTTTTTTAAATGAATTTTTATTGATTTCAGAGAGGAAGGGGGAGGGAGAGAGATAGAAACATCAATGATGAGAGAGAACCACTGATCGGCTACCTCCTGCACGCCCCACATTGGGGACTGAGCCCACAGCCCGAGCATGGGAACCTAACCGAGAATCAAGCCATGGCCTCCAGCTTCATAGGTCGACGCCAGCCAGGCCAAGGCTGAATAATATTCTATTGTAATGTAAGGGTGGAGCAAATGTAGGTTTACAGTTATTCATACAAAAAATAATACTATATATATATATATATATATATATATATATATATATGCCTAATATGCAAATTGTCCCTGCGGGAGTTCAACCAGGAGACCAATCGCTCGCTATGACGTGTGCTGACCACCAGGGGGTGGTGCGGAATGAAGGAAGGCCCTGGCTGGCAGCTGGCAGCTGGCAGCTGGGGAAAGGGGGCCCCAGCCTGCAGCCGGAGGAAGGCCCAGCCAGCACCTGAAAGGCCCCAATGGGACCTGTTCACTGGCCAGGCCTAGGGACTCTATCCGTGCACAGATTTCATGCACTGGGCCTCTAGTAATTAATAAATAATAATAATACAAGAATAAACTCTGGTGTTTTGCATACTCACAACTGTAAACCTGCTTGTGCCCCACCCTGAATGTCATATTTTATTTATCCATTCATTGAAGAACATCTGGGTTGTTTTGTGTTTTGGCTGTTAATAATACTGCTATGAACATTGGTGTACAAATGTCTGCTCGAATCCCTACTTTCAAATCTTTATATTTTTAATTCTTACGTGAGGATATTTTTTCCATTGATTTTTCAGAAAGAGTGGAAGGGAGGAAGGAGGGGGAGAGAGAGAGAGAGAGAGAGAGAGAGAGAGAGAGAGAGAGAGAGAGAGAGATTGACTGGTTGCCTCCTGCATGGGCCCCCAAAAGGGCCAGGGATCAAACCGATGACCCGTCAGTTCATAGGCCGACGCTCTAACCACTGAACAACCTGGCCAGGGCCCTACTTTCAATTCTTTTGGACCCATACCCAGAAGCAGAATTGCTGGATCATGTGGTAAATTCTGTTTTTAATTTTTTGAGGAACGGTCAACATTTTTTCCATAGCAACTGCACCGTTTTACATTTTTACCAACAGTGCACAAGTGTTCCAGCTTCTCCACATCCTCACCATCACTTGTTTTCTGTTCTTTTGAATAGTCATTCTAATGAATATGAGGAGATTTCTCACTCTGGTTTGGATTTGCATTCCCCTAATGACTAGGAATGTCGTCATTCCTAGAGCCTATTGGCCATTCGTGTATCTTCTTTAGAGAAATGTCTATTCAAGTCCAAAGGAGAACATTTTGAACTATTTTAGCCATTTCTGCTTTATTATCTTCTGTGATTTACTTCCAAACAACATAGTTATACAGCTATTTCTTGGTTTTGTTTGCTAGGTAAGAATTTGTACTTCCATCTCTCTTCCCCAAGTCCTCCTAAATAGTTTTGCTGTTATTTTGTATATATATGGCTGCCTTTGTAACTCTGAAGAACATACTCCTTTTTTTTTTTATAGCAAAGATGGAAATTTATTGAAGAACAAGTACAGACTCCCACGTGGGGAGGGGGAAAGAGTCCCCCATACTCCTTTATTTCATGTCCCCCCATTGGTAGGCCGGGGCTCCTAACACCTTGATTTATAAGGTAAGGCCATGTGCTTCCACTCCCTTCCCATCTCCTGCCCTCTAGCTCTCAACGGCAGCCAGGTGTGACCGCCAGCTTCAGAGTATTTACATCGTTTCCTCACTATGATGACATCTTCTGGACTTTTTTCATAGGTTGAGAATAAGCATTTTAAAAATCTGTAGGTGGTGTTTACAGTTTAAGCCACTTTTGAAGCACAGATGGGAAGGATATTGACAAAGGGGAGGGACTAAGGGCTTTCTCAGCGTAGCCAATGGCATGCACAAAAGCATAGGGACCGCGTACTGTGTGAGTCATGTCCAGCTCACAGCAGATGTGCCCCGTTCAGGCAGAAAGACCCTCGGGGAGCTAGGAGGAATGGAGTTGGTTGAAGAAAGAGGGAGGCAAGTTGAAGGGCCTGGATGGTCCATGTGCCCTGTTTTTCCCACTCCCAGAATTCTGGTCCACGGCTCAATACAAAGACTCGGGGACTTACACATCAGGTATGTTCACTATCCTTTCTCCCAGCCTCTCTCTCCCCCTCCCCCCTCCCCCCCGCCTCCCATGGAACCAGTGTCTACTAGGACTCTCATGGCTTTGCAGTCATGAAAAATAATTCCCCCTCCTACAAAAGGCTTGCCACACCTAACACGGAGGGAGGTCTCAGAGTGTAGACACGGGAGGAAGCAGAGGATGGTGAAAGTAACAATCACTGAAAACTGGCAGAGCACCAGTTCCATACCACGGTACTCAACCCTTACCCCGACCCTTGGCAGGAGGCGGGTATTATTACCCCCATCTTAAAGAGGGCAACTGAGGCTGGCGAGGCTCCACAACTTACCCAGAGCCACAAAGCGAGCGTGGGGAGAGCCTGGGCCTGTGCTCACTGTGGCCGTGGGCAAGTAGCTGAATCTCTGAGTCTGTTTCTTCGCCCATTAAAACGTATTCCAAGGCACGCCAGGGCGTTGTGTGTGCCAGAGGTAACAGCCATGAGGAGTCTGACTTGCGGGAGGTATTCTGAAACTGCTGGCTGTGATTCCATGGCATGTGTGTCTGGAAAGGCAGGGAAACTCAGTGGGTGGAGAGCCAAGGCTGGAGCAAAGTTCAAGGATGAACTCATCCGTCTCTATCCCCAAGACTGACCCTCAACCTAGCAAGGTAAGTGGAAGGGCCTGCGAGATCCGTATCCACCCCTCACGTCACAGGCCCGGAGAGGGGCAACAACTTACCCAGGGTCACCCAGCGAGCTAGTGGCAAAGGCTGCCAGGCAGGTTAATATCCCGGACTTGGGGTACTCGTCCTCACCCCACATGCCTGGGCTGGGCTATTTGACTCAGTTAGTCTCATTAGGAAGGCCTGTCCATGCAAGCCTAGCTTCCCATCATCTCTCTGCTCCTCTATCTTCCTTCCTGTTCCATTCCCACAGCATTTAAAAACACACACATACTTTTATTGTTTTCAGAGAGGAAAAGAGAGGGAGACAGAGATGGAAACATCAATGACGAGAGAGAATCATTGATCGTCTGCCTCCTGCACGCCCCACACCAGGGATCGAGCCCGCAACTTGGGCATGTGCCCTGACCGGGTATGGAACCATGACCTCCTGGTTCTTAGGTCCACGCTCAACGACTGAGCCACCCAGGAGCCAGGGCTTCCCTCTCTGGATCCTGGAGAGGAGCAGCGCAGTCCCCTTCTCACTTGAGCCAAAATTCCCAGATAAGGGCAAAAGTCTTCTCAGGCCACCCCCCCACCCTAAGCTGTCCCTTCTGTCTAGCCCAGCTTTCGTCACCACCTCTGGGTCACCAGACGGAAGGTCACCCTGCCGGGGCCTTTACCCCATTGCTCTCCCTCTCCTCCTCTGGAGGAAGGGTCAAGGCTGGAGACGGACAGCGTGGACCTGGCACACGTGCCGCTCTGGTGCCCGGTGCCACCTTTTCCAGCCAGGACCAGAGATGGGCAGTGACCTCTCAGTGCCGCAGCCACATCTGGGCTTCAGGGGACCATGAAGAGGATCTGGAAATAGAGTGAGATTGCTTTCCACCGGCCCCTGGGGCAGCTCACAGGACCTGTGCCGTGTGGGCAGATGAGGGCCGGTGAAACCCAGGTGGCAGTGCCCGAGGCCACCTTCCTGCACAGGTGGGCGATGCAGGCAGAGGCCCAGGGACAGGGACGGGAGGCTGCCCCATGGGAGAGGGAGGTACTCACTGGCCTCACACCCCCCCCCCCCCCAAGCGAACGTGTGGCCCAGCTGGGCTCGCTCACCCACGGCACCTTTTGTCCCGGCTCCCCATGTCCGCCCCGCGGCCCCCTGACCCAGCTGGCAGGCCTGGGGAACACAAGGGGGGTGGAGGGGGAGCGGGACTGCACGTAACCCGCGCGCTAAGCCGGTCTCAAGGGGATGGGCGAATGGGTGCCTCCCCACCCGCCCCGCATTCAAGCGCCACCGGCTCCCCTCCACGAAGTCAACAAGGTCTGGCGCCCCCAAACCCAGGTCCCTGGTGGCTGGGAGGGGAACGAACCTGCCCGGGGCTGCAGCCGCGGGCCCTCGGATCCAGAGGGAAATCCGGGCGATTCTTCGAAGGTGGGAGAGAGAGGGCCGCGGCGAACAGAGGAAGGTGGCCTCCTCCGCGCCCCGCCCCGCCCCGCCCCGCCCCGCCGGGCCCGGGCCTCCGCACCCATAGGCAGAGGCGACCCTGCCCGCCTCCCCGCCGGCTGCGCGCTCGCCCCGCCTCGGCTCCTTTAAAAGTTTCCTGCGGCCGGGCGCCTGGCGTGGCGAGCCATGGCTGTCGGCGCCGGGGTGCTGCGCCTGGGGCGGCTGTGCGTCGGGGGCGCGGGGGTGCTCGGGCCCCGCTCCGTCCTCCCCCGGGGCTGGCAGGAAGCCAGGCTGCCGGGCGTCCGTCCCATCAGGTACCGGGGCCGGGGAAGCGGGGGAGCGGGCCGGTCCCCCGGGAGGGCTTTGCACAGCTGCGCTGGGGCCCCGATCCCACAGCTGCTCGACCTGCGGGTGGCTCGCGGGAGCGTGGTTACCCCGCGCTCTCACGCGGGCGACAGGAAGGAAATGCTGGCAGAGTGGGGCGCGGCTGGGGCGGGCGGTGACCCTGCCCTGACTCTGGGTTCTGGTCCAGGACGCTCAGATCCTTAGCTTCATGCACGTGAAGAGGGCCCGGAGCGCGGGCCTTTCTCAGTCTGGTCTGAGGGGAAGGGCAAGGACAAGGCCTGGCTCTGTCCGCAGGGCACTGTCTCTGCGCTGGCCTCCGCTTCGGGGGTAAACTTGGGGCTTTTCAGCCGGGTCTTGCTCACCCCAGGCCACCAAACTCAGCCGTCTCCCTTCTCCTCCTTAGCTGCCGCCAAACACTGCGTCTGATCCTTCCCACTTACCCCGCCTGTCTGCGTCCTCGGTGCAAAGGGTAGGATGCTGGCAGGTGGAGGATGCGCTGCTGTCTCTCTAGCAGCATCCGTCACGCTGCCTTCCTGTCAGACTGCGAATGGGGAGGTGTTGTTGGTTTAGCAAGGCCGGGCTCCCACCGGTGTTATCAGCGCCGGTAATTACCTTCGGGCCTGGGCACCACTCAGCCGGCCCTGCTGCGCCGCTGGGCCAGATCCTGAGTCTGGGGTCAGGACACAGTTTTGGACACCAGATCTCAGAGTGTGGGCCTGGGCAGGCAAAAAGGAGGAGAAGGCCAGAGAGGCGTCTCCTCTGAGAGAACTGTTCGGTTCAAAAGACGAAAATTGTGTGGTGGGAGTTGGGGGAAGATGCACACTCCTCTTTTGGCTGGAATTCCGAGATCACAGTGCTTTGAGGTCCCTGCGTCTCGTTTTCTGTTTCTCACTACTTTCCAGGGTTTCCCTGGGCAAGCTCAAGCATGTACGCCACCCCTCAGCCTCCAGTCCCCGCCTCTGGACTCCTGGGTGCCCTCTTCTATTGTGAGGGCTCGAAGGAAAGGTACCCCCCTTCCCCGAAGTGTACATGCTTCACGATGCTAAATCAGGCCACCTCTGGATGCCTGGCCACATTGCTGAACTTTGGCTTTTTCTGTGCGTACACAAAACAGGTCGCCTTCCTGCTACCGGCCTGCAGTTTCGGGGGAGAGGCATGAGGCCTCAGGAAAACCTATTTATCCAGAGAGAGAAGATTTCTAAACCTTTTGGCCTCATTCCTCCCCATCGCTTCCACTCTTGCTTTGCCCTTCAGAAACCTTCAAGAGTCTCAAGCATTCCACAGACATTCCTGAAAACATGTTCTGTCCAGCACCTGGTGGGTGCTGTGGCTGGGGAAGCCATTGGACCCAGTCCTCCAGAAACGTACAGTCTAGCGGGGAAAACCTACATCAAGGCGATCATGACTCACCGTTCCAAGTCAAAGGGTGTGCAGAGCTCATGGACTCCTGTCCTTTGCTCTTTCTAATCTGGTTCCATCCAGCCTGATAGTCTGCTGCTCGATACTCCAGGCCTGTTATTCACTAGACTAGAGGCCCGATGCATGAAAATTCGTGCAAGAGTAGGCCTTCCTGCCTCCGGCTGCTGCCGGCACTGGCTTCCTTCTGGCACCAGCTTCCCTCTGGGACCCAGGCTTCCCTCCTCCAGCCGCCCACAGGCACCCGGGCTGCTTCCCTCCTCCGGCCACCTGCAGGCACCCGGGACCCTGGCTGGCTTCCCTCCGGCCCCGGCTTTGTCAGGAAGGAGGTACGGAATGACATCCTAAAGACGTCCAGTCTAATTAGCACACTAGCATTACCCTTTTATTATTATAGATTCCCAGGGTAGCCTGTTAGGAAAGAGCAAGACTGCTCTTGGGTTACAGCCCTGACGTTCCACCTATTTGCTGCACGACCTTTGGCACCTAACCGGTGTGTTACCTCACCTTTGAGCATGGTGAGCTGCTCACTAATCCTACCTCCTTGCTGGGTTGACAAAGGCTTGCTCTTCTCAGCCTTCCCTTTGAGGCAGGGCCGGTCCTTGGGAACCTTCGAATGGTGCCTGGGTAGGATTTCCATATGACTTGGGGATAGGAGGGGATCCTGGGTCAGAGGCCTCTTTCTTGCACCTGGCTCTCGCTCCTGGCCAGCTGCTAAGATGGCAGTCTCTGCCAAGGCATAAGTTCGGTCCTTGGATCTGCTGGACACTCCTCTCTCCATCAACGTCAGGGCTGTCCAGCCCGGCCTGTGTGACTCAGTGGTTGAGCATCTACCCAGGCCAGGAACCAAGAGGTCACCGATTCGATTCCCAGTCAGGCACGTTCAGGGTTGCAGGCTTGATCCCCAGTAGGGGTGCATGCAGGAGGCTGCCGATTGATGATGTTCCTCTCTCACCCATGTTTCTCTCTCTCTCTCCCCCTCTCCCTTCCTCTCTCTCTAAAATAAAACTTAAAAATAAAAAGATAGATAGATAAATAAATAAATAAATAAATAAATAAATAAAAAGTCAAGGCTGTCCAGAGCCCTTTTCCCCCCGAAGGAAATAAGAAGCTGTGCATTGCTGAACCACCACTCCTTCCCCTGCCACCACATCCCCTTCCCCAGGGAAACCCTAGTCTGGGACTTCAGAGAGCCTCGGAGGGAGCAGTCCAACACTGGTTCCTTGATGAACCTGAGACGAACAGGCTTCCTCAGTTCTCTAAAGCTGGCCTGGGGCCACCTGTGACATAGTGGCACCCACCTAGGGCAGTGGTTTTCAACCTGCGTGCTGCAGGAGGCACCCTGGTGTGCCCCAAGAATGTTTAAAACATGCAATACCTGACTCCTTAGTTAGGGGCACTGACCTCTTTTCCCTTAGTTTGTCATATAAAAAAACGACAACAGGCCCTGGCCAGTTTGGCTCAGTAGTTGGAGCATCAGCCCACAGACGGATGGAAGGGGTGAGAGTGGGAGGCAGCCAATCGATGTGTCTTTCTCGAGTAGCGCTCTCTCTCTCTCTCTCTCTCTCTCTCTCTCTCTCTCTCTCTCTCCCCCCCTCGCCCCCCGTCCCTCCCTCCCTTCCTATCTCCTCCTTCCCTTCCATTCTCTCTAAAAATCAATGGAAAAAATATCCTCACTCCTTGGGTGAGGATTAAAAAAAAAATGACAGCAAGCAACACAATAGCTGTCCAGTGTGAATGAATCAAAATTATACCTATTTTTTGTCAGATTGGCAAAAAATATATTTGTGTGTGTGCTACAGAAATCTATAATTAGTTGATGTGTACCACGAGATGAAAAAGGTTGAAAATCGCTGATCTGGGGTGTTGGGAGCCCTTGGAGCTGGGAAAGACAGAGAGAACAGTGACTTGAACCTCTCAGAATTGGGTGTGATGCTCAGCGCTGGGGCTCCAGTGACTTGATGCTGATGGTTGGGGCAGAGGGGTAAGTGGTCTTCATGGACCACCCTCCAGGGGAATGGCTGCAATTAGGTGGGACCAGTATCGGAAACTATAAAATGCTATCCCTATATGAGGGGATTGCATTAAGCCGGGAAGTGTTTTGGATGGAAACCATAATAGTTACAAAAAATAGACTCTTCTCATAATTCCTTAGAGATGATTAACCAGTGATTTGGTAATGATATCCCTATGCAGCTTACACAGGAGATCTTCCGCTCTACATGTAACAATAGGAAATAAACTATAAACTTGAACTTTGTAGTCAGTGAATGGTACACATTGGTTACATATTAATGCCTTGCACAGGGTAGGTGTGCAGTTTACTGTAGAGGGTGTGATGGGGATACAAACTTGTTTTTACTGTGTTCTTTGTCCAAAAAGGATGTACAGGGAAGACTATAGGCTCACTGACTCAAGGGGGAAAGGGTGCTGCACCGTGGATGCTGTCAATCAAAGCAGGAGGGGATTGGATTTGTGGAAATGGGCTTAGGGAAGGCTCCCTAAAGAGGCCTGAACCCTCCCCCCAGAGGACTGTATGATAGTGTCAAATGTGAAGCCTCTAGACTTGTATGAAATCTTGCTTGTGCTGAACTCTTTTGTATCTGCGTATGAAGGCCTCCTAACCTCCCCCACATGAATTTACTTATTTAATTTACAGACAGAAACGTTAGAGTCAGACCGGTCTGGATTCAAATGAACCACTTTCTAGCTGGTAGCTTCGGTACTGAGGTGGAACTTGACTTTTCTCATGTGCCATGTTGTGAGCATTTAGTGAGGTCACATAAGAAAATTTAAAAAAAAAAAAATTTTATTGATTTTTTACAGAGAGGAAGGGAGAGGGATAGAGAGTTAGAAACATCGATGAGAGAGAAACATCGATCAGCTGCCTCCTACACACTCCCCACTGGAAATGTGCCTGCAACCAAGGTACATGCCCGTGACGGAAATCGAACCCGGGACCCTTGAGTCCGCAGGCCGATGCTCCATCCACTGAGCCAAACCGGTTAGGGCCATAAGAAAATTCTTAACCCACAGTCTGGTGCTAAGGAGATCTTCCATCCATTGCGGTGGTGAGTTATTATACAGGTAGTGCTTGTGAAACAATGGCTTTGCACATTCCTGCAATGACCCTGAGGCCCACCGTTGAGTAACCTTGTCCTGAGAGAAGGAGGGACACAGTTCCGGCAGGGGCAACTGTTTTGCTGAGTGTTGGGATTAAGGGCTAATTTTTTATTTTTTTTG